CAGCTTCATTTTACTGATATATTAACCAAGCCAATATGAAATCATCAATCAATAACATTTAATTTATATCTTTTAATTTGGCCTGAGATATTGCTATCATAACAATCAAATTGTAGAATATACAATGAAAATCTGTAACTTATTGCAAGAGATATGCATTAACATGTACATGTACTTGTTGTGGACAAACGGTTGAAAAATATTCATTTGGAAGGTAATAACAACTTGCAATTACTCGCAAACCTTTCCTTTGTTACAATTTTAAAACATTTATTCCTCCATTAAATGTCATGTATTTCTTTCAATGTGATGCGGCTTATAGACTGCATCCTTAATATGTTGGATACAATTGTTTAGGATGACAGTTAAGCTGATCCAAAATGATTATGATAGTATGCCACCCCGGTGTGAGACTATGATTTGGCAATTATTCACGCTGGATATATTGTTTATTTTCTCAATGATATTGTCAAGTGAATCATTACAACACAGTGGGTTACTCATGTAATTAACTTGCCTCCTTGATGTTGTCCTAATTTCTCCGACAGCTCATAAAGAGTAAATTGATAATAGTATAATGTTCTTGTATGTCCTTACTGAGTTGTATCTTGGTTTGGAATAATGAGAGCTCTATGAAGTATTTATAAATGGGTATTGTATATTTAAGTTTTCGTGTGTTTTCGATAATTAAACATTAAATATTTATTACCATTATACGATGAAATAGAAGCAACATGATCTGTTCCTACTGCTATCATGATATTTTACTATAATATACCTTCAGGATTCCTTCATATTAGTATGTAGTATCATTTTAGCACTGACAATAACTTATCTTAATTAAACATTCAATTTGATAGAAACTATGTTTAAATAAATGAACACAGTCATGTGTCAAGCGGTCTAAATTACATTTTTATTGATTTTGAGATTTTAATTATTGTTACAGTTTGCGCTAAATGTTAGCGTCACACTGTAGGCGCGTCATTCAAAAATGATTCTTTTTCACTTTTATTCTTTATATTTTTGGTTTTTGTGATAAATTTTAATTTAAAATTTTGTGGAATTTTAACTGAATTTATTTTTGGTTTTTGTTTCATAAAAAATATTTTTTTTTGAATAACACTCTTCAAAATTTTCCCCTATATATCTTTGGGAACTTTCAATTTTTTCTGAAATCTAATTTTTGTTTTATCCCAAAAAGTTTTAAATTGTCATTAAATTTTTTCAGATTTAAAAACAATTTTTTTTTTGATAAGTTAAACCCTTTTTTCCCTATTGAATGTTAACAAATAAAGGGGGTTTTTTAACCCCGAAAATTTTTTTTTTTAGAAACAAATAAATTTAAACCATTTACACCCATTATTCCTGTAAACACTACATGTTAACCCCTAGGAAACTCAGATTTAAAAGATAGTTTGGGTTTATGGAAAAAGAATTTAATACAAAAATTTCCGGGGAGTAGTAATAGGGTTTTAATTTGTATAAATTAAAAACGGGAATCATTTGAAAGAAAAAAGCCGGCCCCCTCAAAGACACCTTTCTTGAACGCAAAACTGGTTAAGTCCCAAATTAGTTTGGGGGGATATGTGGGCAATTTTGTTGAAAATTAAACAGCGAATTAATTGAAGTAAAAAAATTTTTCGTTTTCTTGAAAACGTATGTATTATATTAAAAGGGCCAAATTTTTGAAAAACCTGTAACAGGGTTTAAAAGCCTGCGAATCAAACGTGCCACAATAGCTTTTAAAATATATCTTTAATTTTGGGATAAAAATTTTTTTGATAAAGAGTTAAATAAAACTAAATCTTATGATATGCAAAACAGAAAATGGGTTAGAAATTGGGTGAAAAAAATTTTATATGTTTATGGCTGTTTGGGCATGGGGATATTTTTTATGGGAACCCGGGAAAGTCACTAAAGGAAAAGCTATTTCGGCACATACATGATTAATTTCTGCCAGATTATGAGCTTAGATATACGGACAGGCAATCCATACATTAATCTTTCAAGAAAGTATTTACGAGAAGTCATCAATCTTTCCAAACAAAGAAAACCAAATCTCAAGAAATGTCTGATAAAGAAAAGGCATGACAACTTGTATAATATACAGTAAAATGTCGAAAGCACAAATGCAAATCACACTTCTTTTGTAGATAAATGATATTTTTTATAACAGTTACGAACAAGGTTCAAGCTATATTATATTAAAAAAACGACGATAACATTCCATGTGTTCTGTATAATCTGAAGCGCTGACGCAAACCATTTTGTTGTTTACTTTTTTAAGGTTTACAAAGACGTTAAGTATTGGCTTAAAATATTAACTTGTCTATTTCGAATACATTATCCGGTGGGTGAACGTGACTATTTTAACTGTGATATACTGTATGTGTAGAAAATTTTTTTGGGGGGCTTTTAAAAATTTGCGATTTTGCGTTTAAAAATTTAACCGCAATTATGTTCCGCGCGAATTTTTAAAAATGAAATTTTTTAAATTTTCAATTTTTTGCGCATCTATTTGAACAAAGTTATTTGTGTGTTCACGTGCCCTACTTTTGGAATTTCCCTAGCGCTTTCAAAGAGTGATTTTCCTTTAAAATTCTTTTAAAAAAATTTTTTAATTTTTTAATATTTACGTCTGTATATTTTAAAATCCCAAGTTTGGGGGCTTTTTATATTGGGGGTTTGACCAAGATAAAGGAATTACGGGAATTTCTTGTATAAGTTAAAAATTTTCATGTTTGGGTTTTAATTTTTAAAAATTAATTTCACGCTTATTTTTTCATGGGTTTATTTTAAAAAAATCTGGACATCTGATCAGATTATATTTTGTTTTTCTAAAAAGCAATTCAAATAACGCAAACATTAACGATTCTAACTGATGGAAACGTGGAAAATAAAACATAATTACTCAGTCAACATTATAACAAAATTGGTGAAAAGATTATTGTCTCATTCAGTGCTGTTTAAAACTGTGAAAAATCACGCACGTTAACGGACATTCTTTTGTTTGCCATTATCTGTCCGCTAGGCAAATTGAATGTCTTTGTTCTGTCTTTGGCAGTGTAAAATTTTTTAATTGCAATGCAAACCAAATGATATAATATGTTTGCATAGAGATTATTAAATATGGAAATATTTGCGATTTTTGAGAATCAAAATCATTCGCAAAAAAACTGAGCCCGCAAAAGTTAAGTAATAGAAAGGGCATCGAAAACACGAGGCTATCTGATTTGTACGAGGGGGCGTAGCCCCCGAGTATTAAACAGATTGCCGAAAGGTTTGATGTTCTTTCTCTTTTGTATCATAGTCAAACATAAAAACACGTTCCCTGTTGTCACAATATGAAACCCCAGAAACAAATAACCAATGAACGAGCATCTGATTATGACATTTCTATCGATTTCCCTTTCTCCGCCGTCACAATACGTAAACCCCAGCAAATATGAGCCAATCAATGGACATGCGCTCTGGAGTGCGAGTAACTGATACCTGCACTCCAGTTAACGCACTGTACATGTAAATGTATACGATTTAACTCTGACAAAGGTCCCCAAACTATGATACAAATCAAATTTAGTCTTCGAAGGTCATTCAACATTTTGCCATTACACCGGTATGTATTACAAATATCCCGTTAAAATAACATCTCATCAAATACAAACAAAAATATAACATTATTCAACGTTTATTTAATATTTCACATTATGAAATAATAACTGTTCATAATAAATGAATTGTCGAACTGAACAGTTTCATAATATTTCTTTGAATATATGTGCATCTGTTAAATCGTTCATTTGTTTAATGGTTATCATAAGCGTGTTAATATAACGGGAGTTCCGGAAATCGTACTTTTGCAAATATTTTTAACATTCGAATACATTTTATGACGTGAAAATATTCACTGATACGGTATAATAAATGTTATAAAACACATGTTTGTTTTATTGTTTCTAAGAAGATCAAATTAATCTTAACTGTGACATAATGTGCTTTTACAACAAAAACTGACTAACATGTACCTTTACTAAGATATTGTCTTACAATCGTATCAATAATATTGTTTAATAAACACCTTATATTTTATATTAGATTGTGGGTCATATACTATTTTGTTTACAAAAACGATTTAAGCATATCATGTCAGAACATCGCAGAATGGAGTATCACTGTATATTCCTCGTATTTTTACATGGACTGCAATTAGAGTGTGGAATTTACAAATGCTATGCAATTTGTAATTGTATATAAACGTTTAATAATTTAAAATACAGTTAAAACATACTATCATATATAAGTAACTATTATTGTTACGAGAATTTGTGTACCAGTTTGTGTCATCCAAAACAATAATCTATATCTATAAAGAACGAATATAAAAAATACATGTTTCATAGACGACAGTGGTAAAGGCAAATATATTATAAAATTTACGCTGTTTATCATGCTTTGTATCTTAATTTGCTTTTCTATTTGTTCATTTAAAATAAAACTAACATCTGACCAGAGATGCGAATTTACAGCCATGGGTAGAATAATAACATAATAGATGAAAATAGTTCTCAATGTGAATCTGTAGGAGATACTTTAATAATAAAGATTCTGTTCGACTCTAGGAGGTACATATGTTCCGTCCTTTTCATTTATTTCAATTGGTATTGATAAGGTTCCTGAAAACATTTGGTTTTCTGATAAAGCTAAATTTATAAGTTAAGCAGTTTTTCAACATGAATAAATTCAATTAAATGGTAAAAATTGCAAGTGGCATTGTGATAAATATTTAACGGAATTATAATTTGAGCAGATATAGAGGTTCATTTTTGACATGGAACCCAATTCTATCTTTAATATAAGAAAAAGAAACTTTGAAATGGTTTATAATATATTCATGCAATGATTACCCCAAACATCAATCTTTATATAACTCAGGCAACTGTTTTATTCTTATCAGCCGGGAAAAAAGAACATACAGCACACGTGAGTTCTCTAGTGTTTTAATATGGAGGACACTTCAGTACCCCGCATGCAGCCTGGACGAAAAAGAAAAATGTTTCATCTTTGGCTCCATTTCCGGCTTCCAATGCTTCTGGTTTATCATCAACACAAACATATTCCGATGATCCAGCGTGTGAGAAGTGACCAGCCATAAGATAACCACTGTACTCTAAAACATAATCCTTGTAACAGATGTTTCTTCCAGGAATCATAAGGACATTATTCCGAGGGATTCTGCATACTGCACAAGGCACGTCTTGGTAATGTAAATGTTTCCAAGTAGTATGGGTAATCGCCGGTGTGGTATTCAGCTCCGTATATTCTGTCGGCTGATTGGAAACCATTTATGTTTTGACCCCATGTAGGATCTCTAGGCAAGCACAAATAATTTGATCCCGAACCCTTGTGAGTGTAGTGACCACCAGCGGCATAACCCTTCATAAACGAGAAAGGCTTCTTTAGGACAAATGGTCCTACCCCAACGGGTATATGTTGACCCGTCAAATGATCTTTCGGCTCTGATAAATTTTTTCTTCATTCCAGTTATCACTTCTCTTGCATCTATAGTAAATAATAAGAAAGACATATTCAATATAAAACAAACAGAAATTGTTCGCTTAGCGTCTGTAGGGAGGGAATTGCCTTATAATTCTTTGGTTGCAGGTTCGAACTTCGGGCGAACCCAAAATTTCGGTTACAAATGATCTTGGACTTCATGACAATTGATCTTGGACTTGAACCTTATGGTCATAAGTCTCTGAACTCTGGTTCAGACATTATATGTGACTGATAGTCAGTCACATGTGGAGATACTGGTAAATTACCGGTTCATTATCCAGGTAAGCCGGCTAACTACCGGAAAATGCTTTGAACGTACATGTGTATCTGTTTCTCAGTAGTTAAACTGACCTCAGGTTTTTATGTAATCGAGGCATCGAAAAGTACTCCCTCGTATTAAAGAATATATGAAAAATGTAAATCATTGTTTGTTTTCTTAGAATCTGAAGATGATATGAAAGCATTCCATGAATTCATGAAAATATTAATAAACTTTAAAAAGATACAAAAACGGATACTAATTACCGCTTAATTCATTTCTTAAAGCATTGTTTGTCTCCTCTTGTTGTTTCGTCTTCTCTTCTAGCACGATAAGTTTCTGCAAAACGTTATATTCGGTATTCAAATTTATTATAACATGCATGTGGCTCATCATTAGATAAACACATGGAAAAATGCAAATATCCAATAAGTAACAGTATAAATATTATTTGTTCAGCCATTTTTTTTTTCACCAGAAAAATCCTTTTTTTTTCAGAATATTACTAAAATCCCCAGAATCTGTGAACAGTTTTATCTGACTTTTTTACGTTCAAGTTAAGTTATAGAATATATCATATTACAGTAAACATGTTAATTCAATTATATATCTGCTTGCTCCAAGTTAAGATAAATGTTAGATTATCTATGATAATAGGCCTTCTCGGAATGTGTAGCGTAATGTTTTTTTAAGATAAGAATAATGGAACTTTTGAAATGGTTTGAAACAGGTAAATGTAGTTTTAATTAAGACAAATTGTGCTAACGCTTCATTTAATGTCGATAGGGTGGGTTGTGTTGTCTGATTCCCTTCTTTTCTAGTTCTCCACTGCTGATTCTTTGTGTCTATAGGTAATATAAAATACATAAAATATTTGCTACTTTTGAAGTGAGTGTCGATCGATTATTCTTTATCTTAGAGTTGTAAAATAATCTATTTTATGTGATTGAACAGTTTATCATAATGAACTAATCATTATTAACTTAACAAACTAATCTTTAACAAAATATAGTAATTGTTAATCTTACATTAGCATGAATATTGATATACATGTATTTCATATCAAAAATTACCAAATTTACGAAAAAGCCCTCATATATATCACGACATATTGAATACAGATATTTACGTAGAAATTAAAGAATTGGTATTTATCAAGAAACAAACATTATGATTTCGTTTCCTTCCATTTGCAATAATGATAAATTGATGAAATCTTACCTGCATTATTACTATTATTACTTACTAGCAATTGATAGTTTACATATATCACTTTTATACTAAACCAATTGTCATTATTTATATTTTTATAAGGTTTTTTATGTTTCCGTTCCTTAAACCGTACCACATTCTACACTGCAGTATTGAATTATTGTATGATGATGAGGTGAATGTCACATTAATAAAGGTCAATGGCTTTGATATTTACTGACATCTTCATACAATAACTATTTTAATACATGACCATATTAAAATTATTCATTTAGTATTTTTCAAAGCTGTAGATGTCGTTTTACACACAAAAACCCTAAACAAGCAGATGGAAAGCGCAGACGGTGATTACCTATTTTCGGCATTAGATACCATTCTAAAACGTGTAACTGTTCATAAGAAAGCAAAGCAAAATGTCTTTCAATTTATCCTTCTAGTTTTGAGACAAAGAATGATGTCTGAATCTGACATATAATTAGCGCCACTTGGTCTTATTACGAAGTTTGTTTTGAATGATACCGCTGCGTTCAAATCATTATCTATTGACCGTCAAAGGCATCACGAGGACATTGGAAGTCATATAATAATATCAATTAACATTCGGGTCAAATTTCTGTTGCTACTTATCAGTGCTTATCTAGCATAAATGTTTAAACCAGATTCAATTTATTAGACACAATATGAATCATACCATTACACTGATTATCTCAGTTTAAACAGATACACTACACCCTGGACATAATAATGCTTTCTAAATGATACTCTGATCTACGGATAAGGTGTAAACAATATAATACCCGAGGGTGTAGTAATTTTGCTGATATTTAACCTAAGTTCCATTAGAGAAGTCCATGTTATCATCATTAATTTAAATTTACCCTACTGTTAGTGATTTCGTATCATTATATGTCAATTAACACAAATGATACAACGAATAACCTTAAAGCTATATACGACTTTAAATGTATTCAACATTATACAAAAAGAAAATAAACAACCCAGTAACCCATTTTTACATCGCAATTATTTTGAGGAACTGCTATGTGACTTAGCATAATGCAATAAAAACGTCGGTCAGTGGCATTTAAGAAAGGCGCTTTCATATAGTCTTTTGTCGTTTACGGCTATATAAATACCAAAAAATATGATGAACAAGATCAACAATCAACAAGGAAAGGCGGCGTCCAATGAACTTAACGCCCAAACGTCCCGCCAACAAGAACCAGCGGCTAGGAGGACGACCAAACTGTATATTTGAAACCAACAAAACCTTAATCACTTTCAGTCTTTTAATCGCTGTTTAAGAATTTGATGAATTTTATTTAATGTTTGTAGTATTCTGCATATTCATTAAATATTTGTTCTGTCAGGTTTAATTAATTAAAATGATTTATCTCTTACTGAGTGCGTAGCAGAAATGTGTTGCTGCAATTCAATTAATCAGACTGAAAATAAATCACACCGTTACACCCATTGACTCCTCTAAATATTTGCAGTTAACTCTATGGATACACATTTCATTTAATAGTTTGATCGATGGGTGAAGTTGTATACATTTCCCAACAGTTCATTAATGTTCAGGTATTTTACTGTCTCATTAGAAATATTTAATGTATGTTCTAAAAGCAACTAAATTTGATTTTGCGAGATAACACAGGTGACAATGCATGTTTTATGATTGTGTTTATAAGAAATGTTTGAATAAATATAGCGGGAAACAATTTTCTAAAGCACTTCTTATACTACGGCATTTCTATCAAAGAAAATATAAAAAGACAGGTAAAATTAGATGTTTTTACATATTTCTAACACAGTACCTACTTTAAAAATACGATATTGTATGGAAACTGCTATGATATTCATTTTAAAATAACACTGTGCTTTAACACAACATTCATACCATGAAACAACATACTTACATATTAGACGTATGCACGCGGCGTGAAAAGTGGTAACTGTAGCTTAATTCATTCTTAATCATTAACACATTGTTGATTTTTTCCCCCATAAAATCTGTTTCTTGAGGCTAATTGATATATAACATATATAGTGCAAATATTTGACATCCATAGAAAACTTAATATGTCTGTTTTGCTAACATTATTGCCACGGTTCAGCATTGTTCACTATTCAGGGAGAAGGAAGATGTGTAGCTCAGTCAGTAGAAGTCGGAACTGCGTTCGAGTCTCGGTCAGGCTGTACATATTTCCCACCCTGTCACATTATGATTGTAAATATGTCTGACAATCATAATGAATTTAAAAATGCTCACTGATGTACAATTATTAACAAATCCAAATAGATATTAACAGGTAGACATTTTGTACTTTCGGTTTATACCACCATAAACATAATATATAAATTATGTACTGTTTACGTTTACATCTATAAATTTACTTCATTTAGGTGGACATTTGCCACATATATTTGAATAAACATAATCACAAACCCTCAGCATAAAATTACTATTTGTTTACATGTTTAGTTTCTTAGTGTAGGTTAGACCGAAATACTGTTTGTGCATTCTTACTATTGTGATCGAGGTTCTTATCCCAAAAACTGACGGAAAGGGAAGAAGAGTTTGTCAATAACTATTTTTTAAGAAGAGTTTGTCAATAACTATTAATTATCATTTAGTTATTTCTACATAAAATATAATCGTTTCCATCATACTTCAGTTAATGAACGATCAACGATTTGGTACGAATATAACATTTTGGTTATGGTTATTGTTTTTTTTTTTTAATTGATAATTAAATAAAGAAAAACATTAGGGAATAAAGTTAAAGGGGTGACATTTATCAGTGTATTTGTTTTGAAGAAGTATCAGTTGTCTCCCTTTGGTATTGCGTTTCCTTAAAATGTTTACAGCTTTTCTTCCTAATGAGTGTACAACAGCATCACTTTTATCACTCTAATGAAATAACGTGAAATATAACAATTTTACTTATGTAGAATTGAATGACATTTCGATTTTTAAGACAACTATTGTATTGATATTGTGAAGAGAAGATCTTAAATGAAAGAAAACGATATTATTTAGTAAGTTACCGTTTAAGTGAAACGGTTTTCGTACGTTTATGTGCTCAGATTGTTTTTTTTATTAAACAATAAACGTCCGATGTCTTAACACTAATTGGTTATAACTGTCATATGATTTTATACTGTTAAGAAATGTATAGTTATTTAAAACTTGAAACATACCGTATCAAGATCTATTATTTTTGCATTTCCTTGTTTCATGTAGGTTCATGGCATACTATTCTATATCACTTTATAATGATTGTTTCATAAAATAATATATGCGAGTTGAAAATAATATTGAATATATATATTCAATGGTTTGACAAAAGTAACTATGGTTTGACAAAAGTAACTGGGTAAATTCAGCATGTTTTCCGAAGACTCTCTTTGTTACAGGAATGAAAACAACTGATTTAGCAATTAGAAAGTGACCCATATGTTTCTATTTCTTGTGCGCATGATTTCCTCCCTTGGGGGGCAATTTTATTAGTTCTTTTGTTGGAATTGCAGAAATGAAATCCTTAATTACAAACAGAAAGGAAGACAGAAGTGAGTTCAACAGTTCAAGCCTTCTGTGTACATTGGCGGTTTCGATTTAATATTATATCCGTCAAGTTAAAGATTTCATACAATAGCAGTTGTAAACATCAATAAACATTATGCAAATTATGGTAATTTACCATAATGAACTAATCTGTCTTCCGCACAAAGGAGTCAATCTAATTTGACATGGATATCGCGGATAACAAAACAATGCTTCAAGAAGTGGTAGCAATTTTTCATTCTATTCCGGCCACAAGTGAGTTGCCCATTAGCCTAAACAGCATTCCCCAAATGTGGCCTAAACGTCAAACGGACATCTTTGTCACACATTACCTCAAATGTCTGAATTAAGTTGTTTGATAAAACCTTATATGCTGTGTATTATTCGTTTGCAGTGATGTAAGTATTTTTACTCGTAATATCATAACAATAGATGTTCAAAAAAGATTCATTCAATTTTCAAAACAAATTATTGTTGGAAGAAAAAAAAATTTGCAAGTTTTCATAATAATTAAATTAAAAACTGTGATATTTTTAACCGTTTAAATTCTTAAGAAAAACGAAATTCAATAAATGTTAAAGTAAACATACATGTTCTAAAGTTAAAAGAAATCTTGATTATGATTTTAAATGTGTTTATTTTGTAATTTCAGGTCCAGGGTATTCTGAAACGTAAGGCAGAGATTATGGAAGGGTATGAGTCAAATCAAAATGTAGACAGAAAACGCATATGTCAACGTTCGCCAATGGAGGAAGTAAACACACTTATGTGGCAGTGGTTCCAAACTGCACGTTCACAAGGTATACCAGTGTCTGGTCCCATGCTACAGGAGAAAGCGCTTGTGTATGCTGAAGACCTAGGGTAGATGAATGATTTTAGCGGCATCAAACGGATGGTTATCCCAAAGGGATTTAAGAAACCCATAAAAAA